AGGGCACCACTAGTGAACTTTGGTAGTGGAACACAAGATGATATGCTGTATCTCAAACACAGATACTTTGGAACAAATACCTCGTCTGGACACAGGTATGACATAATTTGGATAAAAATACAGGCAATGTTTCACAGAATTGTTTGGTAAGCGAAGCTGTAGCAATGATAAGAGTAAAGTGATGAATATTAATCTCTATCCATTTAAAATTGCGTAACAACTCAACAGTCAGTCAGTATTAAGCAGAGACCTGATGTGCATCTATCACAGAATGTGTATTAATTCAGGTTAATACCTTGGCTCTCAGATCATGGTTAGAAATGAGAGAAGTCTCGTTTTCAAAGCAGCAGCTAGACTAGTATAGTTTTTCAATAATAAAGTAGTTAAATGGTAGTAGTTAAAGGTTCTGATGATAATCCTGAAAGGAACATAAATCTAATAAGCAACTTCACCTGTAGGTAAGTAAACAACAGGAGAATGTTCTAAAGTGACAAGTTTACGCAATTGGTCATAGCCAACACAGGTTCACAAGGGGGAAGTCCTGTTTAACCAACTTAATTTCCTTTTATGACAAGGTCACCCATCTAGTTAACCAAGGGAAGACAGCAGATGTGGGTTTCTTTGCATTTTAGCAAAGCTTCTGATACTGTCTCTCACAGTATCCTTCTGCACAGTGTCCAGCATACAGCTAGATATGTCCATAATACGTTGGGTGAACGACTGGCTGACGAGTCAGGCTCAAAGAGCTATAGTAAATGGGGTTGCATCAGGCTGGCGACCAGTCACTATTGGGCTCAATTTTAGGGCCAGCGCTCTGTAATGTTTTTATAAATGATCTGGATGCAGGAGTCAAATGTACATTAAGTAAGTTTGCCAACAATATCAAATTAGGAGGAACTGTGGACTCCCTCGAGGGTAGAGAGGCCTTACAGAGACATCTGGATAGACTAGAGAGCTGGGCAATCACCAATCATACGAAATTTAACAAGAGCAAGTGATGGATTCTGCACCTGGAACAGGGTAATCCTGGTTATATGTACAAATTGAGGGATGAGAGGCTGGAGAGCAGCCCCACAGAAAGAGATCTGGGGGTCTATGTTGATGGCAAGCTCAATATGAATCAACAGTGTGCCCTGAAAGCCAAAAAGGCCAACCGTGTGATGGGGTGCATCAAGCACAACACAGCTAGCTGGCTGAGGGAGGCGATTGTCCCACTCTACACTGCACTGGTGCGGCCCCACCTCCAGTACTGTGTGCAGTTTTGGGTACCTCAATATAAGAAGGACATCAAACTATTAGAGTGTGTCCAGAGGAGGGCGACCAAGATGGTGAAAGGTCTTGAGGACAAGACTTATGAGGAGCAGTTGAGGTCACTTGGTTAGTTCAGCTTGGAGAAGAGAAGGCTGAGGGGTGACCTCATTGCAGTCTACAACTTCCTCAAGGGGGGCAGTGGAGGGGGAGGTTCTGATCTCCTCTCTCTGGTGACCAGCGATAGGACACAAGGAAACGGTATGAAGCTGCGTCAGGGGAAGTTCAGATTGGACAGCAGGAAAAGGTTCTTCACTGACAGGGTGGTTGGTCACTGGAACAGGTTCCCCACAGAAGTGGTCACGGCACCAAGCCTGTCAGAGGTCAAGGAGTGTCTGGACAGCACTCTTAGTCATATGGTTTAGTTTTAGGTAGTCCTGCAAGGAGCAGGGAGTTGGACTCCCTTCCAACCCAAGATATTCTATGATTCTAATTACTTTACTTACAAAGCTACCGGGTTGATTTATGCACCAGAGTATTTGTATAACAAGGTTTAATGTAATTTATCAAAGCACAATCTGAATTTTGACCAGAAGTCCTTAGGAATTCATTTGGTCTGCAAGAGTTCAGTGGCAGTTACTGGAGGCTCAGATTCTTCCACTCTGGGTGCCCAATTATACAAAGGAAGTCACCTTACAGCAGCTGTTTCTAGAATGGCAGCAGCCATTCTGTCACAACCACCTCTGCAGAATGCTCCGCAAAGATGCCTTTCTCCACCCTGCAGCCAACCTGAAGAGTCACAGGCACAGTTTCCTGCTTTGTGGGGCTCCACAGACCAATGAGGTGGGCTTCAGGGCACAAGGAGCTGAACATGGCTCTAAGATCTCTCCCCAGCAAAATGTGCTACAAGTAACACTGAATTTCTCCCAGTCCCTTCTCCTTCACCAAGAAGATCAATACTTATGAACAAGAGAGACTTGGCAAACTCTTATTTGGGGGCTTTCTGATGCCCCCAGCTGGAAGTGGTCAATTTGCCACACCGTAGAGGGCTTTGCTTTCTAATGGATCAATCATTTCAGCAAATATCAAGTCCTTTTAACACATTAGGTATTTAAATAAATAAATAAATAAGTTTGAGATTTCAGTTGTCTAAAAAACAAACTTCTGGACACAGAGTTGGAAATGACCGCTGCTACCACAAGTTTCACTAAAATTACAACACAAGTAGAAGAGAAGGGAACATGCAAGGATAGAGAGCAAATAATTGTTCTTGCTTCCAGAGCTGCTCCCCTTCTGGATGCTGTGCATCATCTGATTCTGGATTGGGAGCAAATGAGTCACAAGAAATCAATTTATTTCTGAAGTTATGATTCCCCCCAACAATGCTTATACTAGTTCTATGGTTTCCATAGCAACTAATGTATTTGAAGTGAAAGAAAAACTAGTTTTTTAAACTTTCCATTAAGATAAATGGAAAGCATATTTTGTGATAGCGTGGGTGTGCATGGCACTAACTGTTAATGGTCTGCTTTGGAATGAGTTGTAAGTTGCCTTCTTCAGTAATGGCTTTTCCATTGAGAAGTAACATGGGTCCCCATATCTGCATTACTAACACTTCACATTTCACCAGTAAAAAAATTATTACCAATGGATTACCTTGTTTTCGAAGCCAAATCCACCTTTATCGTATTTAGGACAAGTGAGTATTTTATTACTTCAGAGGCACACAAAAGGGGATCTTAATTCCACTCACTCTCTGCCCTGTGCCGCCACTCCCCCCCTTTAATTCATTATTCATTTTACAAGCAGAGTTATACAACTTCCTATTTGTAGTTTTGTCTGAGAAATAACCCTAAGACTTTACTAGGATCCCTATTATGGTTGTATGTGAACTATTAAAGCTTTATCTGCAGGCATTTGCCATTTCAGAGTTGAAAGACCACCTTTGAATTAGATATTATTTGCTCAACAGAGAAGATAAGGCCCCAATGAAAAGAATGACAGATTATGTCAAGCATTTGAAACAGAATACCAGACTAATTCCTATTGCTTTAAGATTGACTTAGCAAAGACTGGTTAAATAATTGCAAGCTCAATATAAATAGTGATAATTATTTAAAGTCCTTGAAAAGATTTGTAATGCTTACCTCAATGACTCTTGTTTCAAAGTCTTCATAAGTTTCTGTTGGGAGAAAAATAGGGTATTACATTTCCTTGTATTACTTACCTATCAGCATAGCTCCCCGTAGGTGGTATAATTGAAAAAGGACACAATTTTTATGTAACTGTAATTTATAAATTAATCTCAGCAGTAAGTAGAAAAGGTAAGAATATTTTGAACAAACGTACCTAAAGTGAGCTTCATTAGTTGCTTCCTTTTAAAAAGACCTCAAATGTGGTTTTTTATTTGACTCCGTTCATTCAATCTCTTTTAGAATACGGTCAGTGAAAAAACAGCATATAGCTCTTATTTATAAAGCATAGTTTTTTTTTTTCATTTCTTCAGTAAAATCAACTTAGGTGAAGAAAACTTGCTTAAAAAAAAAAATCCAGTTAAAACGATAACTTGTCAGAAAGTGTAATACTACTCTTGTTATAATTACAACACAGCTCCTGTTATAATTAAGAGATGACAACTGTTAAATACATTCATTGTGCTCTATTAGGGACCCCAACCTCCAACTGCAATCAATATCTCATCTTTTTAAGTACCAGACATGCGGAGAAGTAGGACAGAAACAGTCTCCAAAGACTGTCCAACCAAATAACCAGAGTAGCACAAAGGAAGAAAAATAATCATTTTTTAAAATGGTAAAGCAAGACATACAAATTTAACTGCTTTGTTTGAACATCACATAGAAAGCAAAGCTGATAGAAAAACTGAGACATCCTCAGAATCTGTTGAATATTTTGATCACAAGCTAAGCTATACATCCTCTCCAAATTAAACCTGAAACTTTCTTTTGGAAATCACTGCAATTCACCACTTATATTGAAGCATTTTTATTAAGTTATATCTTATATTCTTCCTAATTCTTTCCAACTGCAGAAATGCTATGAAAAACTACCCACAGCGTGTTATGAAAACAGAATGTTTTGGATTTTCACTGGCTGGCATTGTAAACTGCCTTCTTCCCTAAATACTGCTCTAAAACTGTAAATGAACCCCATATACACTGAGCAAAGGCTCAATGGTTAAAAAATAAAAAGGTAAAACACCAAATGGGTCACTTCCATCATGGCCAAACTATTATCCAATATTGTTCAGAATATTCTGAAACTTGTACTAGGCAATCAACAGGGATTCAAAGAAATTGCAAGTATTTCTTGATACATATTTCTGTGAAATTCCAGAAAGGGGAGGGGGAGGATAAAACAAAACAATACATAGCCACTTCAAATAATAAAGAATCACATAGTTTGCAGATGACACCAAGCTGAGTGGTGCGGTCGACACTCCAGAGGGACGGGATGCCACCCAGAGGGACCTGGACAAGCTCGAGAAGTGGGTCCATGTGAACCTCATGAGGTTTAACAAGGCCAAGTGCAAGGTCCTGCACCTGGGTCGGGGCAACCCCCAGTATCAATACAGGCTGGGGGATGAAGGGATTGAGAGCAGCCCTGCCGAGAAGGACTTGGGGGCACTGGTGGATGAAAAGCTGGACATGAGCCAGCAATGTGCCCTCGCAGCCCAGAAGGCCAATCGTATCCTGGGCTGCATCAAAAGCAGCGTGGCCAGCAGGTCGAGGGAGGGGATTCTGCCCCTCTACTCTGCTCTGGTGAGACCCCACCTGGAGTCCTGTGTCCAGCTCTGGAGCCCTCAGCATAAGAAAGACACGGACCAGTTGGAGCGGGTCCAGAAGAAGGCCACAAAAATGACCAGGGGGGTGGAACACCTCTCCTATGAAGAAAGGCTGAGAGAGTTGGGGTTGTTCAGCATAGAGAAGAGAAGGCTTTGGGAAGACCTTCTTGCAGCCTATCAGTACTTAAAGGGGGCTTATAAAAAAGAGGGCAGCAGACTTTTTAGCAGGGCCTGTTGCGACAGGTACGCTGAGGGTGGTGAAACACTGGTGGCACAGGTTGCCCAGGGTGGTGGATGCCCCATCCCTGGAAACATTCAAGGTCAGGTTGGACAGGGCTCTGAGCAACCTGATCTAGTTGAAGATGTCCCTGCCCACGGCAGAGGGGTTGGACTAGATGACCTTTAGAGGTCCCTTCCAACCCAAACTGTTCTATGATTCTATAGCCAGACTTTTTTTCTTTTTTCTCTTTCAATTTGAAATTCTGCCTGGAAAAAATGTCTTTGCAATCAAAGACAATTACAGCATCACTTATTTTGTCTAGTAACAGTTAAGGTGTTTTGCATTGTAAAATAAAGATCGCTTCCTATGTCACATCTGTGTTCAAGTCTTTTCATCACAGTGGTAATGAAACACTGAACACAGAGCTCTGTTCAGGTGAACATTACACATTCAGCTCTAAGTGGTGAACATATTCTTTTCACTGCACAGAAAGTTAGTAAGTTTCTGCTCTGTCATTAGAAGGGACTTCAAAGAAGTAAGATGTTTTTGAAATGTCTTACAACATTGTGGGGGAGGAAAAGAGCACGAATACTGGAGAGCTCTGAGCATGACATGGGCATTTAGATGTACTGCCTCCAAAGACAGTAAGTCAAATGAGAGAGCACAAAACCATGCAAACAGCAGCCCAGTCAGATCTTATGCATAGGCTTTCACCCTGACACATGCTGTAAGAAAAGTCAGCCAGCAAATCCCCTAGGCTTGGCTTTCAGCAGCTGCACCAGCATTTCTCAAAATCCATTTTATAGAAGCAGGCAAAAATGCTGCAAATCATGGATACTCCCAAAAAGACCTAATTTTCTCTGAGTTTCTGTTTCAAAACCTGATGACCACGCAAATACCTGAATACAAATTGCAAATATATTTGTTTCCTTTTAGGAAATTGAGAGCATACTTATAATTGATTTATATTTTAATACAGATACATTTTCCACAGGGAGTATCCTATTATCAGCTTGGTTGGGGAAAAAAAACTACTGACTTTGAAAACAATGGACAATGGAGTAAAATGCAATGTCTTGGTATAAGAAGACCTGGGCCGCCTGCCCAGGCGGCCAAGAAGGCCAACGGCATCCTGGCTTGTATCAGAAATAGCGTGGCCAGCAGGAGCAGGGAAGCGATCGTGCCCCTGTACTCGGCACTGGTGAGGCCCCACCTCGAATACTGTGTTCAGTTTTGGGCCCCTCACTACAAGAAGGATGTTGAGATGTTGGAATGTGTCCAGAGAAGGGCAACGAGGCTGGTGAGGGGTCTGGAGAACAAGTCTTATGAGGAGCGGCTGAGGGAGCTGGGGTTGTTTAGCCTGGAGAAAAGGAGGCTGAGGGGAGACCTCATTGCTCTCTACAACTACCTGAAGGGAGGCTGTAGCGAGGTGGGTGTCAGTCCCTTCTCCCAAGTAACTGGCGAAAGGACGAGAAGAAATGGCCTCAAGTTGTGCCAGGGGAGGTTTAGATTGGACGTGAGGAAAAATTTCTTTACTGAAAGAGTAGTTAAACATTGGAACAGGCTGCCCAGGGAAGTGGTTGAGTCCCCATCCCTGGAAGTATTTAAAAGACGGGTAGATGAGGCGCTTAGGGACATGGTTTAGTGGGCATGGTGGTGTTGGGTTGACGGTTGGACTCGATGATCTTGGAGGTCTCTTCCAACCTTAATGATTCTATGATTCTAAGAAGCAGAATAGATAAGAGATCCTTCCAACCTCCTGCTTTTCCAATTTATCTCATGAACAACAGCATTTCAGTATAACATAGAAGACCAGTGCTAATTAAAGCATTTAATACTTATTTGGTGTAGTCACAGTGAGATTCTGGAGAAAGGTTTGGGAGCTGAAAACAATATAATGGTGAAGAACTGGGGACTCACTCCTTCACGAAACATTGCTTTATCATTTACACATAACCTCCAAGATGATTATAGACATGATCATCTTGGCACAATTTAGAGATCCGTTAGTCTACAAGAAGTAGACTTCTAGCTCACAGTGGAGGCTATGAATGCCAACAGGCACTCTGTTCCTTCTCTGAAGCCTCTTCAGTTGCATAGAAACACTGTAAACTTGGAAGAAAAGTTTAATTTTAAAAGAAAAAGAAATTTTAAATTTTAAAAGTTTAATTTTAAAAGAAAAATAATTTTATTTCCAACTGAATAATACTGTTCTTTCTCTACTCATAGCTAGCACAATAAGTAAAGGTGTAACCGAAGAAGATCCCCCTGAAAGAATGAAGTATATAAAATCACAGTACGTCCCCAATTTTATTTTTTTTTAACATATTGGTCAATTTAAAACAAATTTGTCAGATGGTGAAGGCTAACAACATTGAGGTTTCTACAAACTTCCTGTACCTGTTTTCATTAGAAAATATGAATGCTGCTGAAGGGAAGCTGCAGCATATGCTCAACCTCCATTTGTTACTAGAGAATCTAATACCAGAATACTAGGAAGCGCTAAACTGCAAAATCTCAGTCATGCCTGCTTAGACACCAGGGAACCCAGCCATGCCATAGTCTCAGGACAAACATTCGGTTTGGTGGTTTCAGGTCTATTCCTCCTACCACCTTGACAGTGCAATGTCCCAGTTCCCCTGCAAAATCATTAATTCTCCGAATAAAAAGATGCTGAAAGAACTATGGGGATCTCAAAATCCCCACAATTTTTAACAGATTAATAGGAAACTAGTGTACACTAATTAGAAACTGCTTTTTCTCAAGCACATTTATAATACAAGCTGACAGTTTCATTTTCCTATTTTGATTGTAGTGCCCTTTCTTCTTTTTGGCAAAACTTGACCTGACTACTACAGCCTCCACACAGCCAACTTTAATGCAAGTAATCAACAGCAATACTATCAGCCAAAAGCTAAATCAAGGAAAACATCGGAAGGTAAAATTCATACATGCATAAATGCATGCAACAGCTGCCACTTCTTTTAATGGAATAAACTACTTGAAAATATATTTGAATTTAAAAACAACATAGTCTTGTGTTCAAAGTATGGAACTAGAACCATGAAATTTTCTTGACTTTCTCTATATTCCACCACTGCCTTATGGGGAATTTGGAGCAATTCATTAATTTCTCAAATCTTCTGTTTTTCAGCTGTAAGATTCAGTGACAGGCTGCCAAGTCCATTGTCACATCACTGCCTTCCATAGAATATTTGCTTTCAAGGTAATAAAACGAAATGAAGGGAAGTAAATATAGGAAATCTTTCATTGGTATACTGCAGTATTATGCTGATACTAAAATAGAATTAATTGCTCTTAAAATTGAAGACAATAGAGAAATACTCAAAAAGATTGGCAGGCAAGCTGTCCTTAAAGTCACAAGGTAAATCTGAGGGAAACAATATATCTCAGACACTACAGCAACAGAAGACACAAAATCATGTATACCAGCTACTGGAATGGAAAACCTGGGAAGGGAACAGAGAAGTAGTAGATAGCAACAACAGCATGATTTTATAAAGCAGAAAGCTACAAAAATGCCAGCATAACTTTAGTCTACACAGACAAAGGCATTAGATCACACTGGAAAGACAATGCTCTCACTACCTTATGGCTTGGTTCAAAGCATACCTGAATTTTTAATTAATGTCCAATAGAATGTAACCAGTTCACAGACAGAAAGAAATTAATAAACAAAGCACCAGGCAGACTGGGGAGCAAAGGTGACTGCAAGAAAAGAAGATCAGACAACAATATAATTGTGATTCCATGCACATAATTTCTCATTTATGTTGACTTGCTACAACATATGTTCCAAGATCCAAGCTTGCACTGGGAGATCATATTCCTGGACAAAAAGAGCTCCAAAAACATGAACAAGCTTAACTGTTAGAATGACTGGAGTCTGCAACAAGCCTGAAACAACAGTGTTAGAAAACACCTTTCTTAGCTCATCTCACTATAAAAGCCTACAGAAAGACGACAATAAACGTACAAGCATCATTAAGTGCTTCACAAGAAAAACTCAGCTGAACATGAGTAACAACTCATTTTCATATTTAATTAATTGAAAAGAATTAGGCTTCTTAATGTTAAACAAAGCTACTATAGAATTTCTAGTGGTCTGAATAACAGCACTGTAAAGAAGTTAAGGTCACCTCTCCACTCTACATATAGGACCTCTAGTTCCACTATGATATTTAACTAGGCACCAAATAAATAAATAAATAAATAACTTTTATTAGCTACATTCAAACTACATAATCTTTAACCATATTTCATTATATGAACTAGAAAAAAAAATTATTTATCCCACAGGATCCTTTAAGAAACTACAAAAAAACATGGGTATATTTCATATTCAAGACAATTGATGTTGAACACAGAAAAATATTTTCATACTTTAAGACTCCTATAACAGTCTACAACATAATACAGTACTCTGTAATACAGTATAATATCATACAGTCTATAACATCATATAATACTCTAACAGCTATATTAGACTAAGCAGTGATTTAGCTTGTGTTAACACAACTTGTTCTTTGATTTAGCTGCCTTGCTTCATGTATGGCATATAAGACAGAAGTATAAAATCAATTTTCAACCACAGGGAAAGTCTGGATCTCACTTTCTCCAAGTCCCTTACCAGAAAGGCTAAGTAAGACTAAGATAGATATTCAGTTTTCTTACCTCCATTAGGACCTGGGTCAGGAGGATCCAGAACGACACCTCCCCAACACTTTCCACTCCATCCTCCCTCTCTCTTAATTTTGATTTTTCTTTTCTTCTCCCATGTATCTCTCTGCTGAACAATTTCAGACTGAATTCTCTCTCGTTCTTCTTTTTTTCGTTGAGTAATTGCCTGGACTCTACCACTTTGTATCATAGGTGCATTAAGACCAGGCCAGAGGAAACCAGAACGCCCTTAAAAACAACAGAAAAATTACATTTTATGCCAAATTAGACTGAAACTCTGCACGCTGGAAAAATGCAATAAAATCGAAGGTTCTCGCATATTTCAAGTGCGTTTTATGATACAGAATTTATATTTAAAAACCAAGAATAACATTAAACAACCATATCAGGATTTTTTTTAAAAGGACAAAAATATCTCAAGCAGTTCTGACACCACAGACATTAACAGCAATTTGTCAATTTATTAAATCAAGAAACACTGTACACGAAAAGGTCAAGACATGTCTTCAGCCCCCTATTTGTGAATCTACCTTCACCAATCTCCTGGCCTTTATTGAGATTCTTCCTTAGCTTTTTCTTCCTTCTCTTTCCTCTTCCTTTCTTTACTCCCACACCAGTCTCTGCCAAAGCTCCTTTCCATAGCTCATCAGCTGTCACTGAAATAAAAAAGCTTTCGTAAGTAATGTACGAGCACAGCTTATATTGGAAATTGAAGCTGAACAAAAAAAAAACACCTTGAAATGTTCACCCTTGCTTGATCTTTGCCAGGATTTAAACTGTAGGATTACTGCCTTGCTAAGAAAGTGATTTCCTACTACATGTATACATGTATATGTATCTGGTGTAGAGATGTGCCTCTACTGATGATTGCAATCAGATAGGCACACAGCCAGGTGCATGGTTCTTAAAAGGATTTTCAAAATCGATTTAAAGGCAAACATTCCTAACCAGTAAGGTATTAATTCCCAGGTCATTCATTAGTAACTCAGAGTAGCAATACCTGTAAGCACTTATCCAAGGACAAATATCCATGACAGTCAACTTGAATCACTTCTAAAAATATCCAAGGGTTAGCCTGCTTTAAAAAGCCACAAGGCACAAAAAGTTAACCAACAACATAAATCTGTTGTTGTTCTCATGTTCTGACAAAATACAAGGTCTCCCTTATTGCCTGTATAAATGCAAAGTAATGTAAGGAGGAAGGAATGTAAGACACTTTAAACAGCCTCATCACAGAGCTCAGGCTTTGGTCAGGCCTCCTCACTCAGTGGCTGTGTACTGGACATCCACTGTCTTAAGATGTTTCACCCAACATATGAAAGCGTGACTTAGGAAGCACATATTTGGTAGTTAACTTCAAACTACTGCTTGCCCAGCTGATGGAAATATAGGACATCCTCATAACTTAGACAAAAACAAACTACACCAAAATGAAACTGATGATGTGAAGAAGACACCACAGACAATACTTCATCCTGTTAGTCCAAACAAGAAGGCTATCATCACGGAATACACAAGCATCACCATTGTTATATTTGCAGATTAATGCTATTATATGTTTCACCCAGGGGCAATGTTACTACAGCAGTTTAAATCTCATCTTCTCTGATCAGAAACTGATTTTGTTTATTTAAAGTAGACAAAAAAAGTCATTAAACACTTTTAACCAGGGGAATTAAAATAACTATGCTCAAATCGTTTCTCAACAGCAATTAATCCTTGTTAGATTAATGCATGTGTGAGATCCTGTCCCACAGACTGGCAAATACATTGGAACTGCTATGTTGACAACACAGTGAGGGACAGGAGCTATCCAGGATTTCTAGAGGTACTGCTAAGTGCCCAGGTATATTTTTGTATTGAATAAGTTTGTATAGAGTGTCAAGGTGGCTCTTCCAAAGGTATGACGTCCATCTTTTCAGTCAAAAATCCTTTTCAAAGTGGGATGCATAACTGTGATTCTTTTTTGAGAAGTACAATCCTGAATCAAGTAATCAAAGCTCAGTACATTGGAAAGCAAGCATACAAGGAAGGACAACAACACTACAAGTCCAGGAAGCTACAAAAAAGTATTCTCTCAAGATGGACAAGAGCAGAATGGCCTAGAAAGTGACTACATACCCAAATAACATATTGTACTTATAGTAAAATAAGCCAAAGTATGTAATATAGATTTCATTTGTATTATAGACAAGTGAAAATTGTGTATTATAGACAAGGAGAAATGCCCATGGATTGCACATAACAGCAACATTTATCACACTTCTTATATGCTGTGAGGCAAGAATTGTATTTGCTCCTGGGTAGGCTTTAGTCCCTGTAAAAAAGAAATTTCTGTCAGTAATTACACTTTCTTTTCTAGACATTCAAGTGAGCCCTAATGTCCAGAGGTTTATGGTTAAAAAAATGCCAAACAGTAACTGTATCAAATGGCTTGAAACCAGTCTCTGAACTGTCAGCCACTAAAAAAAATTCCAGCTGATTACAATAAATTGATGCATGTAGCTGTGTGCTAAATGCAAAAAAAAAAAAAATCTTCAGCTGCACAGAATCCTCCAAACAGAAAAATTTCATTACTGACTCAGCATGTTAATTTCAATAAAAGCCAAACTGTGATAGGTACTAGACTGTCTACAAGTAGTGAATATTACCCTAAGATAACACTGCATTAAAGTTCAGCACAGAAAAAGACCGGTGGTAAGTAGGTAAAGCATGATGCAGCTTTTCATGTTCTAAAGTGGACTATAAGACTGTTGCATGAGTTAGAAGATTGACGATCAATCGTGTTAAGCTTCTTAGCTTATTCAGAAAACACTGTGTAACTAGCAATGTCTTTTTTTATGATAATCCTGCTGGCCTGGAAACATGGAATTACAATAAAGGTATTTACATCTTTCTTTGCAAGGTTATTTTTAAGCTGGAGCGGTTCCCCAATCTACTGCAGATTGTGTGGCCTCACAAAGGGTCATAACAGCTACAAAGGAGGCTGCAGACAGGCAGCAACAAGCAGTTGAGAGACAACAGGCAGCTCTTGAGCTGGTAATACACTCAAAAAAACCCCAGCACTTTGAGCTGTATTCTAAATATCTGTACGACAAGATCACTTAATCGCAACAGAGGAGAGTAGCAAAAGTCACAGAGTAAGGAGATTGCTTTGTACCAAAGGAGACCAGTCAATGCCAACAGATCCAGTGAGATGAGGTCAGACTGAGTCAAGTTTTGGCCTCAAGCACCGCACAAATTCTGCCACAATTAGAACCAGAGGAAAACGTCACATTTGGTACCAAAGTGCAATTCATCTAATCAGTCTATGATAATATCATCATGTGTTTGGAAAGCAGCTGAATTTAATGAAACACATCAGAAGCCTGCAGGCTACAGAGCTGCAAGTTCTTTATAACATGGCAGATATCACATTGATTTTAAGACAAAATGACAAGAATGGAATATGGAAGGGATACGCTGCAGTCAAGAAGATTACAATGGTGGGGACATTGCTTACGACAGACAGACAACGCAGCGATGAAGGAAATAAAAATCTGACCATAACAAAGGTCAATCTGACTTGGCAGCAAAGCACCAAGATGATTGGAGAACGTATACATAGGCAGGAGAAATGTCTTGTAGTGGAGGAAATAACTCCAAACAGAAATGAGGATTGCTGTACTGCTTTTCACATTTGCAGAAATGCTCTGAAATGAAGACAGTACAGTAGGTATGCAGTCTCTTAGTGATCTGTGGCCTTACCTTTGTTTTACCTTTGTAAAACGGCAGGCTGCATGCATTCCTCCAGACCTAAAATAGACTCAGTCATAAAAGCCACCACACATTTCTAGTTAGTTACCGAAAAGTACATAGCTACTAACAAAAAAAAAAAAAAAAAATAAAATGTGTCATATATAAGATTTTATTTTATGGCCTAGAGAAAGATCCACTACTGAATTTTGCTGAAAGCATGCTTTATGCAAGTTGATTGCTAAGAACTGCCAATAGTAAGTTTGTATGACACAACTCCATTTTGCTTAATCTACATAAAAGATGTTTGTAATATTTTTGAAAAGGATTTGGGTTTGTGTCTTTTTGTACTATCCCTGAATTTCAGGAACTAGACAGCCCTAGTGCTTACTTCAGAGGAAGATGAATATTAGACCACACCTCAGTAACTCACAAGTGTTAGCAAAAAAACTTGCTGTAGACCATATCAGAAAACAGTATCCTAGATCCTGATAAACTGAGATTAAAAGCAGATTTCTTTGCCTCCTGCAAGATGGGTTCCCAGCTTGCTTAGAATATAAACTACAAAGACAGACAAATAGTAGTAAGTTGGAAAACTGAAGGGAGTAAAAGGAGAAGAAAGAATCAACTTTGTAAAACAGCTAAGTAGGCTCACTTCTTCCACTTACAAGCAATTTTTCCTTAAGTTTTTTGACGACAAATAGCCTTGTGGCAACACAGCAGCAGAGAATCAAAGACGTTAATATTAATGACATAATAAAAAGACTAATGAACATGTTACAATAAACATGCTTCTTTCAATGTACTGTTGCCCACTAGTGCCACTACATCTATGCATCTGTATTACCTTAAGGAACTTAGTAAGGTCTTTTCAATCACTAACATTCTCTTCCAGGTTTCAGTTTGGAATACATACTTTTACTAGCAGATGAATTCTAAAAAGGTATAATATTTCAACCTCTTTCCTTCTCCATACACCAATAGTTTTGCCACGATCTCCAAACAAAAACAGAATTTGGAAAAAATACTTCACACACACGAAACATGAAAGAGCATCTGCAAAGGGAATGTGCTGCTTACATATTCTATTACAAATTGCATGATAAATTACACAGCTAGACTCAGCTGCTTAATGACCACAAGGAGACATTTTTTCTCGGAGGCAAGTCAAAGGCTTAAAAATTAACTCCTCTAGGAACCAAGCCTCACAAACCTCACCATACTCAAGTGCAGAGGGCATTTCCTTGACCTTTTCTCTGACAAACACATGCTTACCCATCTACAGAAAAGAGAATGCACTCTTGTCAGATCATTTATATGGGTTCAAAAGCAGTCAAACAAATTCATAGAAGAAAAAGCCACCTAGAGCTATAAATTCAAAAAATTCCATGTCACAAATCACTGAAGGTTGTGAGGTTTTTCTAAGGAAGCATCCCTACATGCTCATCCAATTCTTACTTTCTTCCCATAGCATCAGCTGCTGTTGGAGACAGGATGCTCAGTTAGGTGGGCATTTGGTCTGATGAGGCAAGGTTTTTCTCATGTTCTAGAAGTTCATTTTTAACTTACTCCTCTAAGACACTACTGCAAGGTATAGTTTTCATATTCAGTATCTGCTCGTTTTGAAAGACATTTCTAAAAAAACAGTATGGGCTCCGTAAGTTCTTAGAAAACACACACGTTTCTATGACCTCAACACAACTGGAAGCACTGAGGACTGATTAAGACTAGGCCAAGCATTAAACAGGTATGAAAAGCAAATTATGGGCCTGCCCTCAGAGCTGGTCTCCAGGGGTAGCTGAAATAGGATGAGAATAGGGAAAACACTGTCACTTATTTGTGACATCACTTAAGCATGTATGTGGTTTATCTTCCATTAGTTTTCCCCTCTCCTTGTATAACTATAGCTTCCTGAAGCTTC